GGTGTCAGTGGGGGAGGAATAGTGCCCCATCGTTGGTGTCAGTGGGAGGAATAGTGCCCCATCATTGGTGTCAGTGGGAGGAATAGTGCCCCATCGTTGGTGTCAGTGGAGGAATAGTGCCCCATCGTTGGTGTCAGTGGGAGGAATAATGCCCCATCATTAGTATCAGTGACACCAATGATGCGGCACTATTCCTCCCACTGACACCAATGACACTTTCTGACCCCTGTTGCAGTATGGTGCTGCTGCAGCCAGCATATGTGGTTGCAGCAGCACCTCTGCACTGCACACTTACCGGCTTTTCCCTCACTCGATTTTCGCGGGTCCGCTCGGCTCCGCCTCCTCGCCCGTGATTGGCCGCCTGTGTACCTTTCCTGAGCTACAGTTCTGGCAGCCAATCACCGGTGAGGAGGCGGAGCCGAGCGGCAGGAGTGAGGGAGTGGCCGGAGTGACGGAAGGAGCAGCGCTTCCTGGATGGATCATCGTGGAAGCCAGGTAAGAGACAGCAGCCCTCTGCCCACCCCTGCACGCGCCCCCCTTGACGGAGCCTCGCGCCCCCCCCTGGGCAGACGTTGACTCGAGTATAAGCAGAGGGGGCCGTTTTTCAGCACAAAAAATGTGCTGAAAAACTCGGCTTATACTCGAGTATATACGGTATATGAAAATCGATCAGTCTTGATATACTGACAGACCGTCTCATATCTTGAGGCCCAACAATGCCAAGAGAGTATAAATATCCCCCAAATGACCGCTTTTTGGAAAGCAGACAGTCCAAGGTATTTAGTAAGAGACAATTTTTTTTTTAATTAAGAAATTAAAAAACAAATATTCACAATTTTTGGGTTTTTTTTCTCTTTTTTTATCATTTTGTTTACCCTACTGTGACCAGAGCAATATGTTACCATAGTAACATTATACTACTCTAGAGAAGTCAGGATTTTTTTTTTTTGCACATTATGATTGCTTATAGCTCAACCACTTCCCATCCGGCCCATGTATATAAACGTGCGGACGGGAGCAGTGCGGGAGCGGGGGTGATCGTTTATAAATGTCCTCCCCGCTCCCTGCTTGTGCGCGCTCCCTGAATGTTTGGGGGTTCTGAGTCATTTTCTAGCAAATAAATGAATCATTTTTACATGTAGGAGAGAAATGCCAGAATTGTCCTGGGTGGGGAAATAATTAAGTACTAAAATCGTTTGGACTGTATCCATGGAGGAGCAGCGTTGTCAGCTTAGGATGGGCATGAGCAGGATGTTCTGTAGTCCGCAGAGAGAGACTCAGAGGCAGAAAGTACATGACTGAGGGACATGCAGAATATCAAGGCTAATACTTACCACCTAACAAATAAAACAACCTCCCCCTCAACCTTCTCCCACCTGAAATAACCACGCGACTCTCCTTTTGGTGTAAAAACGGCCATAGCAGCCCATTCACTGTGTATAATTGTGTTGTGAACTGTGATTGGTCACAGTGATCACATGGTACACACATGATCAATCAGAGCTAATCACAACCAAACTCAATTTCATTCAGTAAAATAGTTGCTTAACCGCTTCCATACCGGGCACTTTTACCCCCTTCCTGCCCAGCCCAATTTTCATGTTTCACCGCTCTCACACTTTGAATGACATTGCGCGGTCATGCAACACTGTACCCAAACTAAAATTTTATCATTTTCTTCACACAACTAGAGCTTTCGTTTGGTGGTATTTAATCACCGCTGGGGTTTTTATTTTTTGCTAAATTAACAAAAAAAGACTGAAAACACGTTTTTCTTTGTTTCTGTTTATAAAAGTTTGCAAATAAATATTTGTTCTTCATAAATTTAGGCCGAGCTGTATTCTACTACATGTCTTTGCTGAAAATAACCCAAATTAGTATTTATTATTTAGTCTGTAGGAAAGTTATAGAGTTCACAAACTATGGGATATATCTGAAAATTGGTCGATCCTAAAGTACTGATGGCCAATCTAATTTCTTGAGGTCCAAGAATTTTTTTTTTTTACATACTGTCACCAGTGCAGTACAGCGTCATCATATAACTGGCATGGCGGTGATCGGGGACACTGACTGGTGACAGTACGAAAAAAAAAGTGATAATTTTTTTATTATTATTTTTTACTCTTTTTTTAAGATTTTTTTTTCATATTTCACTATGACCAAAGTAGTATAATGTTACCATAGTAACATTGTACTACTTTGGGGAAGTGATGAGTATTTTTTTTTTTTTCACACAATTTGCTTATAGCAAACAATTACTTTGCTATAAGCAAGCATTTACCTGAATGGAATCGATACATTCAGGTTTTTTTTTTTTGTGATTTGGCCACGGCTAATCACATGACACGTGATTGGCCCAGCTTGTGCATGTGATCGCTGTGACCATTCACAGCTAGACACACTTGTATACAATGGATGGCTTCCTTACATGCCATCCATTGTATACAAGCGTCATGTGACCTGCTGTGATTGGTCACAGCAGGTCACATGGTACTGGCAATGGGGCCGGTACACAGAACTGTCATCGGCCGTGTCCGAGGTACACGGCCAGTGACAGATCGCGCCGCAGCGCGGCCCTGTGGGCATGTGCAATGCGCGCTCTGGAAAGGACGCCATATGGCGTCCACCCGGAGGGATGAGCTGTTCTATAGCCAGATGGCGGTCGGGCGGCAACGGGTTAACATAACTCTTACTCAACACTTCATACAGTACAATCAAATATTAACTGACAGTAATGATCCCAATCGGGTCCAAGGTCTTCCAAGGCACTGTTACTCACATCAATAACTCAGCTGTATCTGACACCCAATGAAAAGGTCCCCAGCCGCTACTACACTGCCTCGGGGACAATACTACAACTACGTAGTCCCAGATACAGCCAATGAACTCCCACCTTACCAACATGACCTTATAATTGGGAAGGAACACCCATACCTACGATGGGCCCAACCCATAATCCACCAAATGGTCACTCCAACACCGCCTTCAAAGACCCAGCGACCCCTGCCGGCTGCCATGACAAAACAAAAAACGCCAAACACCCCAGGACACAAAAATGCCGATCAAGGAAAGAAGATAAAATCAAGGAACCCACATAAAACCAAACAACACGACAAACACAAAGGACAAGAGGAATAACAAAAACAAAACCGCAAAACAGGTCCAGGGAGGGAGGGAGGAAGGGCGGGAGAAACCTCACCTGTGCTGGCACAAGCTCCGACTGACACCCAGCAAGTCCCAACCCCTCTCCTCATCCTGGAAAGACCACCCTCAAACTCGAATACTCCAATCAGGTGAGTAACCACCCTTATCTACTGAATATCCTCCCACTCAAATACAATCTCCGCCTCGTCTGCAAGCCGCAGTCATGCTGGCCCTCCCCTTAGCTCCGTTCAGTCCAGGCCAGGACTTATGAGCTGATAAGATTTCTGGTAGGATCAACTGGGTTTTTTTTGCTTTTATTAACCACTAGCCTACAGGGCACTTATACCCCCTTCCTGCCCAGGCCAATTTCCAGCTTTCAGCGCTGTCACACTTTGAATGACAATTGCGCGGTCATGCAACACTGTACCCATATGACATTTTTATCATTTTTTTTGTGACAGATAGAGCTTTGTTTTGGTGGTATTTAATCACCTCTTGGTTTTTTATTTTTGCTTAAACAAACCAAAAACCACTCACAATTTTGGGGAAAAAAAGTTTTTTCTTAGTTTTTGTTATCAAATGTTGTAAAGAAGTGATTTTTCTCCTTCACTGATGTGCGCTAATGAGGCTGATGTGATGGACACTGATAGGTGGCACTGATGGGCACTGATGAGGAGACACTGGTAGGTGACACTGATGGGCATTGACAGGCATCACTGATGGGCACTGAAAGGCAGCACTGATAGGCGGCACTGACTGGCACTGTTAGGCAGCACTGATAGGCGGCACTGACTGGCACTGTTAGGCAGCACTGATAGGCTGCACTGACTGGCACTGTTAGGCAGCACTGACTGGCACTGATAGGTGGCACTGACTGGAAGCACTGATAGGTGGCACTGGCTGGCACTGATAGGTGACACTGAAAGCAGCTGAAATTAAAAAAAAATATCACTTTTTTTTTAATTTAAAGAGTTAATAAGAAAACACCCTCACTGTGTAAGGGAAGATAAGGCTTGTCACCATGCTTCCAGAACAATGTACTGGGACCATGAAAGGCTTTCCAAATAGATCAAATGAGAGAAAATGAATATTAAAAAAAACAAACCCCCAAAAAAACAAAAAATGTAACAACGGTTTATCTCATGTCCAGCCTGGAACCTGTGACCATGTACTTCGTGGACGGGCACACTAACCACTGTGCTACCGTTGTTACTGGGTATAGACTGGGTCAAACTGACTCTAGTTTTCAAAAACTGCCAACTGTCACCTGCCCAATGTCAAGTAGTTATAGCTCAGTGCTTAACCGCCTCCATACCAGGCACTTTTTCCCCCTTCCTGCCCAGGGCAATTTCCAGCTTTCAGAGCTATCACACTTTGAATGACAATTGCGCGGTCATGCAACACTGTACCCATATGAATTTTTTTAGCATTTTTTGAGACAGATAAAGCTTTATTTTGGTGGTATTTGTTCACCACTGGCATTTTTATTTTTGTTTGCTATGTAAATTAAAAAGTCCAAAAATTTTGAAAAAAAAATATTATTTCATTATAAACCTTGGCCAAAATGTATTCCATTATATGTTTAGTAAAAAAAAAATAACCCAAATGAGCTTTTATAATAATTTTTTAAAACACTTTTTTTTACATTTTAATTTTTTTTTATATTATTAATTTATTTATTACATACTGTCACCCTAGCAGTACAGTGTCACCAGTACAGTGCCACTGTACTACTTGTGGGGGGTGAAGATTTTTTTTTTTTTTTACCCAGATTGCTTTTACACCCAAAAAGGCTGTAAAAGCAATCATTTCTCCTTCTCTCTAGCTGCATTCTTGCAGCCATTGATAAATACTGTGAGAGCCGTGATTGCTCACAGCTTGTCACATGGTACAAGGCTGTTGTGAATAGCCTTGTACCATGTGACCTCTGTAATCATTCACAGATTTCACATGTAGTAAGCAATGATGTCACAAGTGACATCTTGCTTACTACTCTGCACGTGATCACTGATTGGCTAACCAGAGATCACATGATCGGGACCTCGCACGGAGGTCCCGTCCGATGATCACGGTGCTGTGCGCTCCCAGGGAGCGCGCACAAGCAGGGGGCCAGGAAAGTCGTTTATAAACGGCCACCCGACCCTGCACTGCCACCGTCCGGGAAAAACACGTTTTTCTTTGTTTCTGTCATAAAAGTTTGCAAATAAATAATTGTTCTCCATACATTTAGGCCGAGATGTATTCTGCTACATGTCTTTGGTGAAAATAACCCAAAGTAGGATGTATTTTTTAGTTTGTAGGAAAGTTATAGAGTTCACAAACTATGGGATATATCTGAAAATTGATCAATCCTGAAGTACTGACAGCCAATCTAATTTCTTGAGGTCCAAGAATATCAGAGCAGTACAGATATCCCCCAAATGACCCCTCTTTGCAGAGTAGACAGTCCAATGTATTTCATAAGAGGCATGGCGAGTTTTTTTGAAGTTGTATTTTTTTTGTCATAATTTTTCGGAAAATGAAAAAATGCAAAAAATAATTTTCACAATTTTTTTTTACATACTGTCACCAGTTCAGTACAGCGTTATCATATAACTGGCATGGCGGTGATCAGGGACACTGACTGGTGACAGTATAAAAAAAAATATTTTTTTTTTTTCTTACATTTTTTTATAATTTTTTAATTTTTTTATTACATTTTTTAAATTTTTTAAATAATTTTTATTTAAATTTTTTTATTTTTTTTTTATTTTTTTTCATATTTCACTATGTCCAAAGTAGTAAAATGTTACCATAGTAACATTGTACTACTTTGGGGAAGTGATCAGTAATTTTTTTTTTACACAATTTGCTTATAGCAAAGAATTACATTGCTATAAAGCAAGCATTTACCTGTTTGAAATCGATTTTTTTTTGTGCTTAGCTGTGATTTGGCCACAGCTAATCACATGACATGTGCATGTGATCGCTGTGACCATTCACAGCTAGACACTAGTATACAATGGATGGCAATGAATGAAGCCAGTGTCATGTGACCTGCTGTGATTGGTCACAGTAGGTCACATGGTACCGGCAACGGGGGCCGGTACTCAGATCTGTCATCGGCCGTGTCTGAGGTACACGGCCCGGGTTACAGATCACACCGCTGCGCGGCTCTGCAAGCGTGAAAAACTGCGCATGTGCCGGAGGACGCCAAATGGCGTCCACCCAGAAATCTAGAGCGTTTTCCCCGGCCGCCATTCGGCTGTTGGCCAGGAGGGAGGTGGTTAAAGTAAGCCAATAACCTTTTAGTTTTGGAAAATAGAAGGGAATAGGAATAGCACTCTTGTCCGGTTCTTACTGCCATCCCGGTGCAGCTCGCTGTGTGTGTGTATTTAAAAAAAAAAAAAAAAATATATATATATATATATATGTAAAAATGTAAGATAAATATGTACCTGTTGCCAGATGCAGAACAATAACAAAGATCAATGCTCTCAGCAGCATTCCCCATCATTGTCTCGCAGATATTATAACTAACCAAACAGAAATCAATCAAAGAAATCGATTGATATTTGTCTCGCTGATTTAACTGGTGATAAACGCAAATCAATCAAAGAAATCTCTTCTAACTGCAGTCACTTTGCAGAGCAATCACAACACTTGTGCTCAGTGCGTGGATCAAGAAGAAATGACAAAGAGAGCTAGCTGGTTTTTTTCTTTAAACGGTCAGTTTAGGCCCCGCCCACCACAGTGGATACAGTTATGGCCCCGCCAGGGGCGGACTGACCATTTGGAAACTCCGGGCACAGCCCGAGGGCCCCGGGGTCAGTAGGGGGCCCCATGAGATGCCCCTGGTCCTTTTTCATAGGCTTTTTTTGAGTTTGGGCAAGGACAGAGGGGCCCCATGATCCCCTATTGCCCGGGGGCCCCATGAGGTTGTCAGTCCGCCCCTTGGCCCCCGCCCACCACATTGGAGACATTTAGGGCCCCACCCACTAGAGGTGGAGTCATTAGGCCCGCCCACCAGCATTACTGATCAACTGATCTTGCTGTCTTCAGTACTTTGCAGTATATATATATGTGTATGTGTGCAAATATGCATATATACTGTAAGAATATGTATATATACAGTGGGGATCGAAAGTTTATGGGCTCCCCAGCTAAAAATTTGTAATAATGTGCAATAAAGAAGCCAAGGAAAGAAGGAACAAATCTCCAAAAGGCATCAAATTACAGATTAGACATTCTTATAATATGTCAACAAAAGTTAGATTTTATTTCCCATCATTTACACTTTCAAAATAACAGAAAACAAAAAAATGGCGTCTGCAAAAGTTTTTTGGGCACCCTGCCAGAATTTATAGCATGCACTGCCCCCTTTGCAATGCAGAGACCTGCCCAGAGTCATGGATTGTTCTCAATCATCGTCTGGGAAGACCAGGCGATTTCAATGTCAAGGTTTTAAATGCCCCAGACTCATCTGACCTTGCCCCAACAATCAGCACCATGAGTTCTTCTAAGCAGTTGTCTAGGAGAAAACACTGTGAAACTGAAAATAGTTGACGCTCACAAAGCTGGAAAGGCTATAAGGAAGAAAGCAAAGCGTTTGCAGATGTCAATATCCTCTTTCGGAAATGTAATTAAGAAATGGCAGTCATCAGGAACAGTGGAAGTTAAAGCAAGATCTGGAAGACCAAGAAAAATATCAGACAGAACAGCTCGCTCAGCAGGATTATGAGGTAAAAACAATTCAAAACCCACGTTTGACTGCACGATCCCCCTCAACAAAGATCTGGCAGACACTGTGTAGTTGTGGTACACTATTCCACCCATAAAGAGATACTTGTATAAAATATGTCCTTCATGGAAGAGTCATCAGAAGAAAACCTCTTCTACATCCTCACCACAAAAATCATTGTTTGAACTTTGCAAATGAACATATAGACAAGCCTGATGCATTTTGGAAACACGTTCTGTGGGACCGATGAGGTTTTAAAAATTGAACTTTTTGGCCGGAATGAGCAAAGGTACGTTTTGGAGAAGAAGGGGCACAGACTTTAATGAAAAGAAACCTCCTGTCCAACTGTTAAGCATGGGGTTGGATCAATCTTCATCTGCTTGGGGTTGTGTTGCAGCCATGGCACAGGGAACCATCTCACGAGTAGAAGGAAAAATGGATTCAATAAAAAATTTCAGCAAATTTTGGATGGTAACTTGATGCCATCTGTGAAAAAGCTGAAGTTAAAGAGAGGATGGCTTCTACAAATGGATAATGATCCTAAACACACCTCAAAATCCACGGGGGATTACATCAAGAGGCGTAAACTGAAGGTTTTGCCATGGCCTTCACAATCTCCTGACCTCAACATAATTGAAAATCTATGGATAAGACCTTAAAAAGAGCAGTGCGTGACAGACAGCCCAGAAATCTCAAAGAACTGGAAGACTTTTGTAAGGAAGATTGGGCAAAGATACCTCAAACAAGAATTGAAAGACTCTTGGCTGGCTACAAAAAGCATTTACAAGCTGTGAGTGCAGGGGTGCACAAACTTTCGATCCCCACTGTATATATATATCAACTATGTAGATTTAAAAAAAAAAAAATCATTCTCTCTCTCTATATACTTTTTTGCTCATTAGTAAAAATGGCACAAGTGGCTTAGTGGTTAGCACATCTGCCTTGTTGTAATAAAATGGGTCATGGGTTCGATTCTCGACTATGGTGCCTCCAGCATGGAGTTTGCATATTCTCCCTTAGCGGGTTTTTTTCTCCCACACTCCAAAGACATGCTGATAGGTTTAATTGGATCCTGTCTAAATTGTCCCTAGTATGTGTATGTATGAATGTGAGTTAGGGACCTTAGATTGTACACCCCTTGAGGGGTTAGGGACCTGATGTGAATGTACAATATACATGTAAAGTGCTGCGTAAATTGACAGTGCTATATAAGTACCTGAAATAAATAAATGTAAGATCGATATGTAACTGTTGCCAGATGCAGCAGAATAACAAAGATCAATGCTCTCAGCAGCATTCCCCATCTTTGTCTCGCAGATATTATAGCTGACAAAAGAGAAATCAAAGAAATTGATTTGATATTTGCCTCGCTGATTTAACAAGTGATAAACGCAAATCAGTCAAAGAAATCGCTTTGTAGAGCAATCACAAACACTTTGTGATCAGTGCGTGGATCAAGAAGAAATGACACAGAGCAGGATGTTTTTCTTAAACATTCAGTTAGGCTCCGCCCACAATAGTGGAGCCAGTTAGGCCCCGCCAGGGGCGGTCGGACTGACCATTTGGAAACTCGGGCCACTGCCCGAGGGCCCGGGGTCAGTAGGGGGCCCCATGAGATGCCCCTGGTCCTTTTTCATAGGCTTTTTGTATGAGTTTGGGCAAGGACAGAGGGGCCCCATGATCCCCTATTGCCCGGGGGCCCCATGAGTTGTCAGTCCGCCCCTGGGCCCCGCCCACCACAAGGGATTGGAGACATTTAGGCCCCCACCCACTAGAGGTGGAGTCAATTAGGCCCGCCCCACCAGCATTACTGATCAACTGATTCTTGCTGTCTTCAGTACTTTAGCAGTATATATAAGTATGTGTATGTGTGCAAATATGCATATATACTGTAAGCATATGTATATATACAGTGGGGATCGAAAGTTTTGGGCTCCCCAGCTAAAAATTTGTAATTAATGTGCATAAAGAAGCCAAGGAAAGATGGAAAAATCTCCAAAAGGCATCAAATTACAGATTAGACATTCTTATAATATATGTCAACAAAAGTTAGATTTTATTTCCATCATTTTACACTTTCAAAATAACAGAAAACAAAAAAAATCGGCGTCTGCCAAAAGTTTGGGCCCCTGCAGAATTTATAGCATGCACTGCCCCCCTTTGCAATGCTGAGACCTGCCAGTGTCATGGATTGTTCTCAATCATCGTCTGGGAAGACCAGGCGATGTCAATGTCAAAGGTTTTAAATGCCAGACTCATCTGACCTTGCCCCAACAATCAGCACCATGAGTTCTTCTAAGAAGTTTTGTCTAGAAAACTGAAACTGAAAATAGTTGACGCTCACAAAGCTGGAGAA